TTATTTGCAACAATAGCTAGAGTGCGATGCTGAAATAGTTGTCATTGATAATGGGTTTGACATAGTCCCAAATAGGCCATTGTTGATTATTATCATTAGCTGTTCTTGTTTTCTATTCTGCCATTGCTTCAGGTTCGTCTCTCTGTATCCTTTAAAAAAAGTGGAATGGGAATTCTGGTTCAGGATCAACAGGTAATAGGTCAAGATTCCTAGTTCTTCGCATACACAGCTAAAAATAGAAACAATGAAACTATTAGAGATAAAAATAAAAAATAAAATCTAATTAGTAATAATATCACTAGAAGTCAACTAAAACAAATTCCTGACAACGGCGCCAAAAACTTATCATACATTTTCTACAAAGTAAAATTGCCGCAAGTGTATGTTGTTAAGTTTTGTAATATAATATTGGAAGTAGAGTGTCGAGATTGATATTTGATTCCTACCAATTACTATAATTATTTTAGCTTTTATTTTTTTCTAGAAAATCAAATTTAGAACTGATGTTTTTATATTAATATAACATGGATGTGATGACGGTTCAAGCAAATTATAAGAGATTTATCAAAGTGAGAAAGCCTAGGAAATGATTTCACCACCCTATCAACAATGTTTTTTAACTTTTATAGTTACTTCTATCAATTTTTTCAAAATTTATAGGCAAGAATCTTGGAATAATTCTATTTCCCCTCTCGAGTGCCAAATAGAACCTCTCTCTATACTTTAATTTCAATATCCCTATTTCAAATCAAACATATACAAATAATCCAGTACGAGGTTCTTAAGTGTAATAAGCCTCGAAGATTTCATATTTTCTTTCGAAACCTACAAAATCTAAATTGTGTTATTCTTGGATCACGCATAAATCTCCCTCTCTCAAGTTCCAAAATTTAGAACATCAAATCATTCAATTATTGATCAGGTAATTAAAAGCAATGCTCAAGAATCAACACAAATAAATTAATGGAAAGATTAAAAGAAATAATGATAATAAAATCCAAACATGTCTCAAGTTAAGTTATATCAAACCTTAGATTCAGAATTTAGTTCATAATTGAGAGAAACAATATAATCCAATCCAAAAGAAAGAACATGGAGCAAAAAAGAGTAAGAAAAACTGATTTGTCGCTTGAATTCTCCTCCAAATTGTAGTTGTTTTTCCTCTCAATCAATCTCCCTTTTTTTCCTTGAGCCATCTTCCCCTCCTCCAAATTTAGGTCTTCAAGTTTGTATTTATACTCTTCTAACGTTCGAAGACGAGTTAGAGTTGGACCAGGCCGAAAAGATAAAAAAAAAAAAAAATATTTTTCCATTTTTGGTAGACGATGCCTAGCGCCGCAGTGCCTCGATTGTTTTGCTGCTAGTACTACAATGCCAACGGTTTTGCTTATTTTCTTCTTCGGTTGGGCGTCGCTCTACTTGTTTTAGGTGTCTCCTAGGCGCCCAGTTGCCCAAATGAAGCGCTCTAGCACCCCATGTACTTTCCTTGCCTCAGTCGCTCATACTCTAACATCTTTTTCACTTCATTTTTCTTTCCTTTCATTTGCATTCCACGCCTACTTCCATGATAAACACTTTCGTTTCATTTCAAACTCCAAAATATCCCCTTTTTTTCCAAATTGTCTGAACTACAAAGAAAACAACAGGAACACATACATCAAAATGCTCAAAAGTGCTCAAGAACAAATCGATAACCATGATTTAGAGATGCTAGTTCAATGAGTGAACACTCATCAGTACTGACAAGACTAGTTTGGTTTTATGTTAGGGAGAAATACTATGCTGTGCTATGATAGCCATTTGTGACCATTGGAAATTGGGTAAAGTGAAGAAAAAAATGATTTGCATATGATTTTAAAACTTTAGATTAAAAGAAAAAAAGGATATGGTCGACATGGGGCATTATGATTTTTATCAATGTACATTAGAAAATCTCCACGTACTTAAATCTCTTACCCCATCCATTTCTTGTGATCGAAGTTTCATTTATTAAATCATCATAATTAAATGCGGATATATAACTCGAAGACGTTAAACAAAAATTTATTTATTTATTGTACACAATTTTGACACTTTTCCATGCTCCTAGAGCTTTTTATAAAAACATCTCCAATAAATTCTTTAAACATGATATGCTTTCTATTTTAAAGAGGCAACTCTTAAAATCATGTTATAAAAGATTTTTTAAATTAACATTTTAATTTAAAGAGCGAGTTTAACCTTCAAATTAACTCTCTATAATTAAATGTATTCAAGGTGTTTTAATTTTCAATGTAGGAAAATGATAAAATAATTTAGAGAAAAGCTAGTTAAAATAAAAGATAGGCAAAAATAATAAATATTTTTTTAAAGTAGTAAAGTTAAGTGTTAAATATAAAGAGTTTATTGAAGTACTTTAAAATTTTAACTCTCTAATTATATATGCTATTTAAATGATAAAATATATTCTTTAAAAATAGAGTCCCTCTCATAGACACTCTAAATGAATTTAATTAATGAGATAATACACGTTGTATTCAATTATACCGTGAATGTTTGGTACGTAATAATGCTCTTAAATTAATCTTCCAAAATTCCTTTTGCTTTCCCCTCTTGCGTGTCATACGATTAAGCAAGCTTGCAAAAAGGCATCTCCGGTTCGTCCATAGAACCGCCCCGCTTTGCAATCTATACTCTTCTCAAAGTAAACTTCTCTCGCTGATTTCGAGTGAGTTGGATTGGATACTAAAATTGGAATTCCATGAGATAATATTTCTGATCTGCACAGAAATGGAATGATTTCTAATTCCAAAATTTGAATTAAATCTGCAGAGTTCGAGGGGAGTTCAAACAGCTTATCGGGATCGGTTTAAAAAAGCAAGTTTTCCAATGGTACCCGAAAATGTGTTGAACCATACGAAACAAAAACACTCATTGGTGTATACTGCAAAAATAGTCATGTCTAGAAAGGAAGTGATTTAAATTTTAGACTAAAACAAGTAAAAGTCTTTACCTTCTTACCTTTAAGAAACTGCATCAGGTCATACTTCGACTGACGCATTTAAGGAAGACAAAAACATTATGAATGGCAGCGAAGCAAACATCATACATTACAGGCACAAGGTAAACAATGGAAAGCACTTGTATTTAAAGACAATACTTTATCCTTCAGCCAGTTACTCACGTTCCTTTTTATCCAAAGTAAACATTTCTGGCTTGTTTCAGTTAAAGCCAGATTCGAGCTAAGCACAAGTCCAAATGAAGTAAACCAAGACAAAGCGAAGTTAAGAAGCAAGAAAAGCAATTTTAAAAGCTATAAACAGTTGCATTGCACAAATACTCATTACCTTAAGACAGTAATTTAGTTAAAGACTGAAGAAATATGGAAGGCGGCAAGAACCACGAAATATTAAAAAAATGAAAAGAAAAGCAGCAGTTATTGTGGTCTAGTATACAGCAAACTTGGAACCAAGCACAATTTTAAACACACTGGTTTTATACATACACAACCAGATTGGACATTTCAACAAGTGAAGTTTGGCATATAGTGGATTCACACATATAATATGTTCCAAAAAGTTTCAGTAACATACTGAATAAAACTTGAATGTCAAACTCTCAAACTATATATAGAGCTGAAAGAGAAATGAATATGCTTGTGCACTTAATTCTAACAAGAAATCTCACAACACCAATGAATAAAGACAAAATTTACACTTTGAATATGATAAATTTCTACCTAGCAATAATGAAACAGCCAACTACTGAAACAGAAATTGTGGGGAGGAGGATGCGGGAGGGGGAGAGGAGGGAGGCGAAGCCATGGGTGTAGGGATGGGAATTTGGAAGTTTGTGGGAGTGAATTTTATAGCATGTGGAGGACGGTGGAGGACGGTGGCTGTATTGGCGGTGGCGATTGCGGTGGCGGTTTAGGTCGAGCGTGGGGGCATTCAACGTGCGGCGACGTGTATGGATCAGCGAGGAGAGTAGGGACAATCTTCGGTTCCTTGTTCTACAATTCTTTACAGTGTTAAATGTTTGAAGTGAAATCGAATGTGTTGCCCACAAGGGACGTCCCACTCCTGTAAAAGTCGTGTCCCATGGCACCGTAAGAGCGACAAGCCCGAAAGGGCGAAGAATTAAGGCGCAATAGCGGATAAATGTGTTGTTAATTACTTCTCTTTTTCTTTCTCAATATTAATTGAAGGAAAAAATTATAGACCATCATTTCTGTTAATTAGAAATGATCTCTTATCCGTGGACAAAATAAATCTTACTCATCATAAATAGGAGATCCTTTCTTTTAATTTACTACTTTTCGATTTGACGTGTACATTTGCTCCCTTAATTTATAAATAGATTAAAATGAGTGAATTATAAGTGGATAGTATTTATGAATTTATTAAAATGTGTGATTGAAAATAAAACTTGACTATTATGACACAACAAAGCCAACATGGAGCTAACAAACAATATTATAGTGAAAGAAATCAAGAACTCGGTGTCAACTAACATAGACCTACTCAAATTTACCAATGATGATTAAAGACTCAAAAAGAAACTTGTTAAAGAGTTCACTTTGCACCATCGAAATCCAATACAAATATAAAGGTTTTGCAATTCAATGTGATTACTCTATCAAATCTAAATATAAGACGATAATTAGACACTAATGTCATGCTAAATAAGATGTCATTGACTCTAATGAAGCCTACACGATAATGTAAAACTCAATGCTGTTAAAAATTCAAATTCTAACTTGAGCGTAGAGTAGACCATTTGAGCCAGACTTGGCCAAAAAGATTGACCTAGCTACTGTTTTGCAACTTGGGACTGTAGCCCGATCAATCTTTTTGTTCCAAGTACAATATTATTATTAAAATTCTAACTTGAACGTCGAGGGCGAGTGGACCCACATGATATCTGCTGCTTTATTCTGATTTCTTCCCAACAGAGGAAACTTATTGGATGTGCATTTGTTTCTAATTTGAACCGATACTCTGAATATGGGAGGTAAAGAGTGAGAATTCATGGAGAAATGTCAGGAGAAATTCCCCCAAACTCTTTGTCAGTATATTGCATGTGATTATCTGTAGCTGACAAAATTTGGATTTAAAGTGAATACACAGTTTGCTTCCAGAAAATGTAAACTATGAACAAATAATTGTATGGTATATCAATTTATTGCAATCTTCATCTGTGTTTGATGCTTGAAACTGCCACTGTTGAAACCTGAAAAAAAAAAAATCATTGAGAGAAAGAGAGAGAGTTAGAGACATGTTGACACTGGAAATTGTTCGGTAACTTCTCGCCAACACTACGGTTGATGTTGAAAATCAGTAAAATAGACTTTACCAACTAATCAATTGGGTGGCAAGCATACTAACTGTCATCTGTTTTCCAAAGTCTTCCAGTGGCTGAGAATTTCAAGCCTAATTTATTGAATTTTCAACGGCAACTATACTGAACATGGCTAAACAATTTCCAACTTCAACAAGAAAAAGCTTGAATTACCCGTGGAGTGCCACATATTGAACTTCTGACTAGTAATCACGCCGATCTACTGGTCTTAATTTGGGTTGGAAGGTCACAAGGAAAAAAAAAGTACCTAGAGGGGTTCATATCAAAGAAAGAGTTTCTCTTTGATACTTCAAGCGTCAGGTTCTGGGAGGTAACGACTTGCTGCTTTGTAGCCAACAAGATCTCGTCCCCTGGCATTGGTAAAGATACATTGTCAACTTCTGGCACTGTGAAGGGTTTAAAAACACTGACAATCATGATTATATTGAGTTAGCTTTTCAAGCATTTCCTTTCAAGGGGAATGTTTAGTTTGCCACGTTAGACAAGACTCAACATTATTATGGAGTATTTTTTCTTTTGCATCTTCTTTAATACTGTCTAATAATGCGTCATTCCTTGCCAAACAAGCCGTAAGAGTAAATGAGAGCTCACATTTAGACTGGATTCCTTTAGAGTCTCCAATGACTCAGAAAGCTCTAGTTGTTTTGAAGTGGTTGCAAACAATGCCTGAATATGACAGTTTACTTGCGTCAATCAACAACTAATTGGAAGAAGATAATAAACTGTAGGATGTCTAGAAGATTGCATAGACAGTGAAAATCTTACTTTTTTAGTCTTCTGCAAGTCGTGCTCTATGGATTTTATGCGATTCAAAGATTCAAGTAGGATGTCATCCTTCTCTGGGGGAATTTTTGAAGGTTTCTTCAACAGTTCGGTGACGACATTCTCTAAATGTTGCAACTTCTCACAGCATGGATGGAGAAGCTCCTTACTATTTGGCCGTGAAACAGGTTGTTCTTGCGAATTTGAATTTGCAGAATGTGTTCCTCTCAGATTTTTCACTAAGTTCTCTGAATTTGCCTTTGTGAAAAATCTTCTAACCAGCCCAGAAAGCAACAAAGATATGCATGCAAGAAATCTGACTATGAGAACATGCCTTCTTCCGGGGACATGCCTAGTCAAATCTACTGCAAGAACCAGATATGAAAAATGTTAATGCTACAACACAAACGCAATTACTTCCTTGAATAAACAAACAAAAAAATTCATTTAAAACCCCCCAGACCACCCACTGATGAAAAACTGGTGCTTCATGGGAAAAAATGAATGGCATAACGAATATCACAGCACTTTTTATATTCAGTTAATTGTCCAACAAAAGAATGACAAAATTAATGAGCACAAGCACAAAATGCAAGCAACAAGATAGATGGAGTTACATGTTGATGCCCTAATGGAAAAGAGGAGAAACCCAAACACAATATTATCAAAAGCTTCTACAGTGAAAATATTACTATATGCATCCAGAATGAATGTCCCTACCAATACGAAACAAGAACAAATGGAAGCCTCAACTAATAGGGAGAAGCATTTCTTTCTTACTTGAAGGACAATGATTTTCAACTCTATCCGCATGTTTAGGTCCAATCTTGCCACGTAAAGATGAAGGTCTCCCTACTGTTTCCTGAGTCAGCTAAGGTAAAAGGCAGTAAGATCGAGCATAGAAAACATGAGTGATGTGACGTCACATCACTATATTTAGTAACATTTATGAATCGTAAAAGAATATAAAAAAATTGCATCCCAAAAATGTAAAGAAAATTTGAATATACAAGTTATCAAATGCTGGCACAAAATAAGTAATATCTAAGACACCTTAAATAAAGGGAGAAAACTGATAGGAATCACTATGAAGTCTATTGAAGTTAACGAGGTGCAAAATTCAAACACAAGAATTTGCAGATGGGTGGTGTCGCCTTTAAGTGACTTTGTTTCCCTAGGAAGGTGGTAATAAGGGTTTGGACTTTGGACTTGAACGCTAGTTGTCTCGTGGAAGAAAATAAGTTAAAATGGTGCTAGGAGCATGTTTGGCTAAACTTAAAAAGTTATAAGCTTGTTTCAAAATTAAAAAAAAAAAAAAAATATTGGCAAAAGTTGGAAATAAGTACTTCAAAAATGATTTTTCTTTAAGCCTTGCCAAATATGCTCTATTACTGCAGATGGGTGAATAGGCAAGTATAACTTTTTCAGCAACCACTGCTATTCCCTTCACAAAATATCAATATCATTGGTCTATAAGTATCATCTTCCCTTGTCATCGTAAGTGGCTACCTATATAATCATCAAGTATTCACCAGTCCCATGTTCCTTTTTTAGTTAACTTTTTCCCCATTGATCTCCTGTAACATGAATCTCAATGTTAACAATGAAGTATTCTCATTTAATTTTACTTCAATGTAATTGCGTATTTTTTGAAACGTGACACATTTAATTCTAAGAAACACTATCTTCTTGAATCTGTCTGCCTCTTGGGCCACCTCTAGTTGATATATTATGCGCAGAACATGAATAAAGATTCAAATGGCCTTATCTCCTATATCAGCAACAGGCAATCCTACACAAATTTCAAGAATGTTGAATCCAACAAGTACACCAATACACTGATGTTTTGAGGTTCACTTCTGAAAAGCATAGTTTGGATAAGAGTTTCAGAAAAACTGGGCGTCCAAAACCAGCAAGCTTAAGGGAATAAACTCTGTGTGGGAGTTAAGGAATCACTGTTTAATAGTAGGCAAATGCAAGCAAATACAAAGGAAACCACCAGAAATTCATTAACTTGAGACTAAATCCCATTATATAAAAGTGAAAACCTATTAGAAAAATCTATTTTTAGTCAAATGAATACTTATCAGAAATGACATCATCTGCATAAATTGATAGCTATAAATACTCTTCTATTACATTATAGGCGACCAAATGCTTATCAATCCACGTTATAGAAACAAGCCATCAGATGAAACATCTCATCTGCTTAGCAATTAAACCTACTTGTTCGAACAACATATCTTCATTTCTATATTTGAGGAAGATTCACCAGCAGACAATACTTATGTTATTTATTATAGGCTTTCAAGAAAAAATATTTGATGACCACGTATTCAACTTCCTTTGATTTCAGATCATTTACATTGTCTTACATGTTAAAACCTAAATGCAGTTTTCAGGTAGGAGCCTGAGGTACAGGAGAGAGTGTAATCCTTTTCTTCCCCCTTTGGAATGGACTAAACCAAGTATAATTTGGAAGCTTCTGTAAATGAAATAAGACACTGAAGAGAATATGATGACATAAATCTCTTACATTATCACCAAGTGGAATTGTCTGCATGGTACTGTGAGAAGAGACTTGTAAACCAGAATCTGGCCCATCAGGAACAATTTCATTTTCCGTGTCCTGTATAGGGAAACAAAAATTCAGTTCAAACATTACCTACAGCATGAAGATGAATAAAAGTTGGTACATGGAATTTATTAGAATCAATTAGCTCTATTTCGAAATGACCACCATCAGAGAATGTGGTAACTATAACAATTTCACTATTTAGGTCCTGTAAAAAGGATAGTTCCGACATGTCACGCAGGTGAATGAACAAGGGTTGGAGTGTGTATTTACCTTTGAACCTATTAGCTTGATCTCTAAATCATCGTCATCCTCTGAAAAACTGGTAATTTTTTTTGGATAAGTCGCTTCACCAGCATGTAAAGCATGTACCAGCTGCAAGTAGGAGTTGGATAACCCTGATTATGTGCAAAAGAAGACAGGAAAATGTAGCAGCGACAAACAAAATATCCTTAATTTTTTGTGCCAACATCAATCAACAAGTAGTGCTGACCAATGACAATGTTCAAACCTTAATAAGCTCTGGATCATTCCAGGGTCCCTTGTCAGATCTAAGACATCCACCTTCATTTGGGCATGAACAGGAGCCACCAAGAAAATCTGGCAATTGACTGTTTGACAGAATATTAAATGATACAAACTAAAACCTTTAGACATTTTATGTGTAACAACAAATAGAATTATGCTTTAGTAGGCAGAAAGATCACCTAGAGTCTATAACTTCCAACAATGTATTCTGGAATTTGGTGCCCAGAACCTGCAGGATCGGTAACAGTCAGTAAGATAATGTTTTCATGCGACCACAAAAATCTATATAGTTTGAATACCAATCCTTTACATGTATTTTTGAAGTTGTCCTTGGATCAAGAAAGCCTTTTGCCCAGTTCCACAAATATTTGAATCCACTACCCGCGTTAACTATGTACATATGATTCAATGTCTGCACATGATGAGAACAAAAAATCAGTGATCATAGCACCAGAGGAAAAATAAAAAAATTCACTTTATTCCTCGGAAAAGAAGCTGAGGCACCTCAGGGTAGTTGTTGCCATCTATTCTCTGCATTCGCATGACTAGATCATGTGCAACCTTGCCAAAACTCATCCAGTTCTGCATTACGAATATTTAAAGGGAAAATTTACAATACAAATTTCATGACCAAAGAATGCATAATGCTAAAAACTACTAGTAGAAATTAATGTCAACAGGTTGTACTAATGATTATCCAGGTAAGAACAAACCAGGCCATATACATCCAGGATTGTTGTTGTTGAATCTATATGTCTCTTGGCCATAATAGAACATGCTGGAAACTTTTCTTCAAAAGTCTTTTCAAATCCCTGTATGTGATATTTTAAGAACCTCTCTATGGTGGTTACGCTCATAAGCTTACTAGGTTCAATTTTGCCAAGTCTTTCAATGTATACAGGCCTCCCTCCTTTGTCTACGCCATGGTAACCATGAGGATAATATCGCCGAACTTCTTCAGATTCATCGTAAACAAAATCCTAAAAATGGCCATACAATTATAGCAGCTTAAGATAAAAAAAAAAAATCAATGTGATACAGATAGGAAGATATGTAACTTCTCATAATTCAAATGAGAACTTCGACAGACAGTATCAAGCCAAACCCAACATTTATTTTATTTATTTGTCTCTGTGTGTGTGTGTGCGCGTCGTGGGGATTCAATATGCTTACACCTAGAGAAATTATACAAATAGATCTACACTTTAATGTATAACATAAACATGACCAGGAAACCTAGTTCAACCAGCTGTACATCAACAAGCAAATTAGTTAAAGAGTATGTAGAAAGGATTATATTCAGGAGGAACCACGAGAAACAAAGTCAATCCATTATAATCTCTGTCAATTACGATCTCAGTACTCATCTTAACAAAATATTCAGATATGTTCATCACAAATCAATTATCTTTCCAATAATAGTAAGGACAGTGATAAAAATAGATAAGATGCAGCATTTTACCTGTATAATAGAGTCTACTCCATTCTCTTTCCTCCAATTGAGCATGTCTGCCCACATATGGACCGTCTTATTAAGGTCAAACTTCCTTGCTTTCAAGAACCTGCAGCACAATCCTTTTTGTTCTCTTAAGAGTATATATTAAAACGCACAGGTTTATAAAATAAAAAAATTGAGAATATGAAGGAATAACAAAGAAAATTTTGTGAAGTATTTGACAACATAAAACAAAAAAATTAAAAACAATATTACATAGAAAACAGGAAATATGAGGGGTTAATGAAATTGTCTTTAGAGGCTCTGAATATACAATGCACATATAACAGCTTGTCTGAGCCAATGCATTTATAAAGGTAGGGATTTAGGAGTCATTTCAAAATTCAAGTGAAATAATAAGATAATATTTTTAAAAATACATATATTGCTCTATGCTAATGAAAAGAACTGTAGTACATATTCAAAAACTTGTGAATAGGGAGCATTATTATTATCTTAGCATGACATGTCATACTGCAATATTGACAAGTGATAGGTACCAGAACTTAATTAAACAACTGAAGAAGCCATTCTTGGGATTGCATTATAGACAAGGTATCAACATACGACATAGCGGCCTAGTGGCAAGACTTAGAAATGTTCTATTTCAAGTGGGATACAACTTACTGAAATGACATTCTATTTCCCAATAACAAGTTTTTGGAGACAATTACATGATAGCGATATCTCATACTTTCCCATCCTTTCCAAGGCACTTCTCACTACTTTCTATAGAACCGTTCTTATCATCTATAAACAAGAAAGCTACAGTCACCTTCTCCTCCATAATGAGAATCCAAACAGCGGACTCTACTTAAGCCATGTGTTTTCCCATTTAAGCTGTCTTTTAGTCTACAAAAAGAAAACCAAAATCATGTTGACCAAAGTCAGAGTTCTAGAGTTGGAACTAATGTCCAACATTCTTTTGTAAAATTCAAGCTTCTAAAGACAAAAGTTTCTCCATCTTACCTTCAAGAGGGATAAACCTAAGAGTACTTTTGTTTCGTTTTGCAATGAAAAAGAATCGGAAAACACAAATGTTGAGATTTCATATGAGTTATGGTCCTAATCTCTGGAAGAAGCTGAAGTAGGTTGGTTGAATTGTATTTTACCACAGGAAAACAGAATTTTAAGTACAAAACCAGAGAACAAACAACATTAAAAATCAAAGTTAAGACTAAACTAATCCCTTGCAAGAGGGTAACGACAATATAGATCCATAATCAGGACACAAAAATAGCAAACAATTAAGGCCAAGAAATTCTCTTTCATCATAATGCAATTGCAAATGCTCAATAATTATTATTTTTTTCCGAAATTGATACAGGTGGATTTTTGTAACTCTCTGTCAGAAATGCAGATGAATCTACCTCAACATAATATGGTAATCATCATGGCGAGCTGGAAGCAGGTCTCTGTCAAGCAAAACTTGACGAAATGCATTGACTGCATTCTCTTCCTCCTTGTCTAGAAACTCTTCTGTGGAAATTGAAGCAAACCGACAATGAGCCACCCGTTTACTGCGTTTCCTGAGAGTGCGTGTAATTTTTGTTGAAGCATTTAATGCTTTCTTCCTCAAAGATCTCATTCGAATTCTCTGTTTCTCATTCTCAGAAATCTCATGATCGGATCTTTTCTCTTTTTCATCTTCTTGTATCGAAACTATTTCTAAAAAACGAAAAATCAATCAAAAAATTTAAATAAGTAAATACAGCTTAAATATCGCAAACAGTAACATGAAATTACCTGGCATCCTTATTTGACCGATTCACAATTCAATACCTTGGTGACACTGAATTGATAAAGGACCAAAAGCTCGTGAATTCTGCGTAATGAAAAAACGGATAAAAGACATTGAAACGTAGATATTGTAAATCGAAAAGAAAAGTAAAACTGAACCGCAGATTTCGTAAATCTTCAAGATTCGCAATGCAGATTCCTCTGCCATTCCAATTTCCCGAAATCAACACGAAATGCGGGAAAAGTTCATAAAGATCCGACAAAAATTCAGTGCATTTCACGCTATCAAAAACGTACATTCACGAGGCAGATCCAGCGATCCAATGAAACGAGGGAAAAATAATCACTTTTTACATACAATTTTATTCTTTATTGAATTAATTAATTACCTTCTAAATCACACAATGACGGTGATCGGTGATCTATTTCCTCAGCTGTTTTCTGTACTGCCTATACATTATACACGTATATAGGTCATGTTGGGGAGCAGATAGTAGTAGTTAGTTAATTTTGCTTTCCAATTAATCTCTGTCTTCATTTTTCCTTCTCTTTCTAGAAACGCATTTCTCGTGCCTCCACGGCGTTTCTTTTTCACAGACTATATAATTAGTTTCTCTCTCTTCAGCAGATCTACTTGTACGGCGTTAACTCTTTTTTCTCTCTCTATTTATGCTGTTTCTCTCTCTTCGAGAGACCTACCAGTAATGAATTGCTACTATCACCGCCATCTCGCGGCCAACTTAGCGGTGGAGATTCGAAGAAGGCTGGGTTTTGATCTTAACGCGAATATTCCCAAACTGTTGTGCCACGTGGAGGGCCAATGGGAGCCGGTTAAAAGTCAAAATAGAAATTATTGTATTTTAATCAACCACATAAATGATTATTCATTGACCCTCAATATTTTGACCTTTTATTTTTATAATCTTATGGTTTATTAGCAATTTTTCACTTCAAAAAATCAATTTTTTGACAATATTTCATTATTTCAGTCGTTACTTTTTACTTCATCATTTACAGGTAGAACCCACTTTTCTATCTAACAATCAAAAAACCAACTCTTATAATTATTATCGAACAGAACCCAAGTAAATCATGTTTACAATAAAATGGTGAGAACCAAAAAGTGGGATGGTACATATGCATCGCCATCGTGCATGGATAAAAAGTAATTTGATTAAAAAAAAATTTAAGCCAGACGTTTATAAATTTCTAAAAACAATGAGTCAAACATGACTTAAGACCCCTTTTTAATAAGGCTTTTGAAAAGTGAAAATCTATTTTTAAATTTAAGAAGTTATTCTAAACTCGCTTTGATAATTTTTTGTAAGTGCTTTGACTGTTTAGAAGAACTTTTAGAAAAAAACTGACTTAATGTAAATTCTTCAAATAACTTTTGTCAGAGTAAAAGCAAAAGCGCTTCCAAATGAATCCATAGTAAGTTGAATTTTACAACACTTAAAATAAATAAAATTATTGTCTCGTGCATGATATCCATTGTTGCTAATAGTCACATTTTAAACATGATCTGATCATAAGTTTAAAAAATCTTGAAATATTTATGTTTTCTTGTCAAAATCAAGATTTTGAAAATTCTTAATTATATAAATCCTTTTTGGCCTTTGAGTAATGTTGGAAGAGTTCAACTTGAAATAAAATAAGACCATTGAAAGAGGAACTAAAGGTCCATGACCTATTTTAGAAGAAGAAAATTTGATGCATGATTGTCTATTTTTAGCACGCAATTTTTTTCTATTATTTAACTACACATTCTCCAAGTAAATCATTTTTATCGAATCTATTCTAAAACAATCTACATCAAACATGCTCTTAATATATTTGAAATTTTCTTTTATACCTAAGAATGAAAAATTAATCATGATTGGACGGCATAAAATTGAAGAACGAAGAAATACTTTGGTACACTTAAGTACAATCATTCATCGAATTAAAAAAAACGCATAATTTAGTACACTTGAGTACAATCATTAGGCAAGTTTTATTAAATTTTGAAATATAATCATCAAGGGCTTAGTGATTTGAACAACTCTATTGTTGAAAACTATACACAAGTAAATCCAGACTATGCACAAGGAAAAAAAGTTGAAAATAAAGTATTAAAAAATATTTATTGTCTTTAACAATTTGAACTTTTAAAACATATAGATTTGACAAAATTATTTGCAATGAAGTGATAGAAGTTTCGAGACATTTTATTTGTGTGAATTGCACTTGGAGAATACAATATGGTCTAATCTTCCAGAAATATGCCACTACGCTAAACATTCGCCTCAAAGAGAGGTGCAATGCAATGGACATTTGAAGCCAATTGACTTTACCTAACTCTTGACAAGAAATTAAATAAAACAAAGGAAAAATTGTAGCAGCGGTCCCTAATCTTTTAATGTTATGCAGATTTTATCATAACCTTGATTTTGTGCCAATGGATGTTCCTAACCTTTTATAAATATGCTCCCGAGGTCTATCTAAACAGAAATCGTCCAAAACACCTCCAAAAAAAAATTAAAGAATCAACATCAAATAAAATCGTCCAAAATATCATCCAAAAACACCGTCAGAAAAGATATTAACATCCAATAAAACCATTGCAGTGGCAAATAGTTCAAGGAACTTTCCCGGTCAATTGACAGTGTTTTAGAGGGTTTCCGTTCGAATAGACCTCAGGTTTGGCTTGTTGAAAAGCGAGGGATAAGGATTAGTCAAAGACAAAGGGTAGATCTCGTTCTTACTAAATCTTATCTGTGTTGATAAGCATATCATATGAAGGAAGTCAATGCAAAATAAGCGACTTCATCTACATCAAGGTCGACTTGTTGAAAGGCAAGAGATAAGAGAGTTAGTCAAAGAGAGTCAACCTATCCAAAATCTACTTCTAGCCGTTCACACTTCTTTTGAAGTGTGAGCAGCAAAATTTACTTCTTTTTTTCAATAGAAAGCAAATCAAAGCTCTATTAAAAACTTAGGGGATGTTTGATATACATTTTCTTGTAAAAGTGTATTTTAAAATAGTAAATTGATGATAAATATGTGGTTGAAAATAAGAAATTTTTTTTGATTTACGTGTAATATTATTTTAATAAAGAATGTGCGGTTGAAAAGAAGAATGAGAAAAATGCATTTTGAAAAAAATAGGTATCAAACGGGGCCTTAAAATTAAAAAGAAAGATGGCCAAACATGAATGTTCTAGAAATCAATTTACTTTGTCTAAAAGTCGAATTATTCCGCTCGATGCGAAATGGAAGAAAGCGTACGTATGAATTCAAAGCATCCTAATTTGTTTTTATCCTTTGAAAGCGCACAAAATATGAGTGGAGGATACTTAAAACTGCAACTTTATTTGTTAAATTTCTCTAATTCATAAATTATTTATTATCTTAGAAGGTTTTGTCTTGTACTTTGTTTTTGAAGACCTCCTTAATGTGGTTTTGTCGATTATAACGTTGTCGAGAGTGTTTTTTTTTTTTTTTTTTCTAAATTGAAATAATCAAGCATCAGATAATATCTCTTTTCCAATTAATTTGGTAAGAAGGGAAAGAAATTGTACAATTTCTTGTGTCGCTACATGTCCATGTGAATTCCTACAACAAATGTTGCTCCATTTTCAAGAAATGGGCCAAGAAATGGAATGGAATATGTAGTGGACAAAGGGAGTAACTTCTGTCCGATTTTTAATTTTTCTTGTTTAATTTTTTATTTTTTTGCCTAGAAGCATTGGATACCATTTTCGGATTTATTTATTTATTTATTTATTTTGGTAGGTAAGCTAATTTCGTTTTATTACAATTTGACCACTCAATTCACACTTCTACAGTTCTACTTTAATAAATTGCTTCGAGTTCGACCCTCTTAAGCTGAAAAATCAAAGACATGAATATTGACTTAACATAAATAAAGCTAATCTTAAAATTAACTGTGAGTCTACGACGTTTTTGTTTTGTGAATTATTGAACATCAAATAATGCTATCACAGATCAAGTTCTTGTTTTATCAATTATTGAAGACATCAAAATAATTTCTTCTTCATTTCTTTGGTCAATAAAGGGGAAAAAAAATTGCTATATGAATAATTCCTATACGATTTATGTATGGACTTTGGAATGTTGCTCCATTTCCAGAAATGGGCCAAATTCGTATACACAACAAATTAGAGGGAATGTATATAGTGGACAAAAGTAGGAATTAGTTTACCATTTTTTGGATTTAGGAAGGGCATGACACCTAATTTTTGTGGGTAAATTTTGTTTGAGATGTACAAATGAAGAAGAGCCATTTTATAAGAAGAAAAATTGTATATTTAATCCTCAAGAATAATTGTATTATATAATAAGTCCGTGAATTAGTATCTGATAACTCACAAGTCACAACAATAGTATCCTTATTACTTCTTTCTGCTACTGTGGCCTTTTCCATGTTGATTGTTTATATAAATATTCTTCGCATACAGTAAATATCTTAAAATTATTCCAAAAATCATCATAAGTATTTCTTATATATTATGAGTAATGCTATTCACAGTGAGTGCTTACAGTAATCATCATATATTCCAACTTTCAAGCAAAGTAGCAAACAAATCCTCAATCTTTTTTCTTTTTTTTTTCTTTTTTTTTTTTTGACGTGCACATGTATTTTACCCCTTGTTTGAGCCTCATTCTTTTAAAAAAATACATTTTCAACAGTGTTTTGATATCATTTCAACCACACATTCTTTAATAAAATAATACTATACACAAATTCAAAATTTTTCTTATTTTTTAACCACACATTTCTCATCAATACACTATTCAAAAATTCATTTTTCCCAAAAAATGGGGCTCAAACAACGGCTTTGATAAGTGTGGATTTTTGCACTATTCTGAGCCGTTAAACTTAGATATTTGTGAGTTTCATTAGTGATTTATTACTTAGTTTAGTTATTTTTATTGTGTAGGTGAAAACTCAACTTTGAACGATGATTAAAAGGTATTTATGTGAGAAAAGACGAAAAAGATAAAGGAAGTATGAAAACGTTGAAAGATGATGTTTCTTAAATAAATAAATAAATAAATAAAATTCAACGAGTTGGGCGCCGCAGCGTCCAGCCCGAGCAGAAAACAGAAACTGTGGTGCCCAGGAGCTGGAACGCCTAGGCGCCACTGTTCGGGCGCCTAGGCGCCACCTGAGCCGTTTTTAATTGTTTTCAAAATCTAAGGAACCAATGCTGCAATTTCCTTTAGGTTTTAATTTAAAACATTCAACCAAACACAAGACTTGGCTATTCTTGGAATTTTGGAGGGAGAAGTCGGCACTTCTTCCTCTTCATCTTCTTCTCTCTTGTTTTCTTTCTCTTTCATTTTCCTTTAACCTATATTTTTTTGGACATTTTGGGGAAGATTGGAACATGGAGATGGTGCTAGCTTGGAGAAGATAACCCATTGATATTGAAGGATTTTCTACCATTTCTCTCTTTATCAATAAGTTTTTCTTTTCACTTTTTCTATCAATGTTTTGTAAGAAATTGTTAGTTATTTGTGAATATTTCATAGGTAACTAATTACATTTGTGATTGAGGATTATTTCAAATCCGAGTTATGATTTTCAACTAATTAGTGCTTTGTTGTTCTCTTAATTAATGTATTTAATCCATTGTGTTAAATGTTTATTTTGTTCTTCTTGATTGTTTATGTGTACAACTAAATGATTAAATTGTTTCGATGAATGGTATTTTGGGATTAGTAGTACATAATAGTTATTGATTCTAAAATCTAGTAGCAATTACATTTCGATAGATTATAAATAATTTTCAATTGAATGTATGTGG